ATGTCTGGAACAGTTGATGTCAGGAATATGTTGTGTCAGGAACATGTTGTGCCCGGAACATTTTGTGTCAGAAACATGTTGTGTCAGGAACAGTTAATGTGTCAGGAACAGTTTGTGTCAGAAACAAGTCATGTGTGGAACAGTTCATGTGAGGAATATGTTATGTCAGGAACATGTTGTATTGGGAACATGTTGTGTCCAGAACATGTTATATCCATAACATGTTGTGTCCGGAACATGTTGTGTCGGGAACAGTTTGTGGCAGGAGCATGTTATGTCAGGAACAGTTGATGTCAGAAACATTGAATGAAAATTTCAAGCATAAAATAGACTACTATAGCTTCGGTCATTTTGACTAAAGATAAATATTTCCAGGGTACCTGTTCTGAACTGGGAACTTGAGTGAAATATCATTAAAATTGATCAGGGCCATCATCCTAAAGTGGTTTTAGTATTTATAATGGAAAGTTTGAAATACAAAAATAGGCTTGCTCATGCTTATGCTAAAAAAGGTTGGATATGGTTAAATCTGTTCTTAGTGGGGTGGAGAGTGTGTGACACCAGTTCTCGTTAGATCACTGAAGTTAAGCTCACTTGTCCACAACCAGTAACTGGATTGGTGTCCAGTTCGATACCCGTACTCCACACAAACCTGTGGTTTCAAAATAATCTGAAGCCGACATCTGGTTAAGCAGTTATGACCACCTGACGGACCTAGGAGGACAGAGGGATGGCTGTCAACAACTCTCGCAGCGAAAGGGTGCGTGCTTTCTACTCAACAAGAAAGAAGCTTTAAGTGAATTGATCCAATTGAATGATTATGAAGAGGTATATCAAAAGAATTCCTGCACTCTATTATTCTGAGGCCTAAGAAGCCCTAATGCAGCTGAAATCTTGTCAACCCTCTTCTCAGAATGAATGAAGCGTGAATGGATGAATGTGCTGCCAGATTACAACCCCTGGTAGATCAATATAAACCCAGACAACACCAAACTTTCGCAATAGGAAAAATTTTGAGATTTGATCGTAACAACCCGATCATGTCCTGGGGACAAAAAATCTCTTATAAAAGAAATAATAAATAATAAAAAATAGATCGCAACAGTCCCATAAACACCCCGGCTCTTTCTTCTAAAATTGCACCCCCACCTTTTTTAGATAAATTAAGATATTAGCATTCAAAGTTTTCTAAATTTGTTATCATCCTCTAAACCACAAATTACGTCACAACTCACCATTAATTCTTTCAAACACACCTTTTTTCCTCCGGCATTGTTTACGTTTACTTATTATATTATATTACGTCATGTTGTTTAAACTGGTTTAAACTATTTTTTCCTGTTTTTTTATTTAAAGATTAATGTCTTTTGAAACCCTCAAGCAAATTAAACCAATTGTTACGTTTCCTACTAAAAAAATGTCAATTTATAGTTTTAGATCCTAAAAGTCCCGCTCACTATTTCCAAAAAGTTGCAGTTTAGGAGTAAAATAAGAAAACATTATTTTCGGACAAATTATAGGTGTGGTCTGGACCAAAAATAGGTGTGGGTACAACAATTTACTTTCTTTGTTGGGCTTAAATATGTTTTTATTTTTAGACAAAATGTATTAGAAATTCAATTAAACCATATTGAAAAACACGACGTTGCCTAAATTTGAAAAAAAGTATTAACATGCATAAGATAACATATTTGAAAACACAGAAGCAACGCTCGGAGGAAAAAAGGTGTGGTTGAAAGAAATAATGGTGAGTTGTGACGTCATTTGTGGTGCGGACGAAAAAATGGTGTCATGTGCTGCCTGTCCCCGCTTGTATTGTGTCTGAATAATTCTTTTCTGTAGGTGTTCCCTGACCAACCAAATTAAATGTTCTTTGAAAGATATCTGTCCCGAGGTAAGATTTTCTGATCAAACTGGTTTGTTGTTCTCTTGCATATGAAGATATACATACATAAAATGTAGTAAATATGTTCCCTAGTGTATCATAAAATTCAATTAGCTAAATTTTGCAGAAACTTATTGCCTCAGTTTCAATATTTTGTCCTGACAGTTCAAAATCAGTGAACGTGAGTAGTAATATTAAGATTAGCAACATTTTCTGTTTTCCAATGTTGTAAAATTTGAACTAAAAACTAAATTAAGAAAGTTTTCCAAGTGCCATACAAAGCATCAAATTCAGGGAAAACTGAATTTCCACTGAAACATTAAGTTCAAGCTTAAATTACTAGTGTTGTTGACATATTAGATAAATCATTCAAGCTAAAATTACTCGATTTTATACCAAACTTCAGATAATTTTCTATGAAGGGGGGTAGCCCCCTGCATCCCCCGCTATGTGTCATTAGAAATATAGATGTCATTAGAGCTATATGTGTTCTTAGAGCTATGTATGTTCTAAGAGCTATAGGTACCCTTAGAGATATAGGTGCCCTTAGAGATATAGGTGCCCTTAGAGATATAGGTGCCCTTAGAGATATAGGTGCCCTTAGAGATATATGTGTTCTTAGAGCTATATATATATTCTAAGAGCTTTAGGTGTCCTAAGAGTTATAGGTGCCGTTAGAGCTATATGTATTCCTAGAGCCATAGGTGCCCTTAGAGATATAGGTGTCCTTAGAGATATAGGTGTTCTTAGAGATATAGGTGTCCTTAGAGGTATAGGTGCCCTTAGAGATATATGTGTTCTTAGAGCCATAGGTACCCTTAGAGATATAGGTACCCTTAGAGATCTAGGTGTCCTTAGAGATATAGGTGTTCGTAGAAATATAGGTGCTCTTAGAGATATAGGTTCCCTTAGAGATATAGGTGTCCTTAGAGCTAAAGGCAGAACTTTATTTCCAGAGTGTTTTTATTTCAAGGACTTTTTTCTACAAGAACTTTTTAGTGCCAAAATTTAGGACTTTATTACCGAAAAAAAATTTCATAGAACTTTTTAGGCCGATACCGTGCATTCAGTAACCCTAAAATTCCTTTCATTTTATCCTTTTTTATCTGGTATTAAGATTGACTAAATTCTCTAATTTTTGGTGACAAGCACACCAACTCCAATTCAATGCGAAGGAAAGAAGGAATAAATAAATGGAATCTTTGAAACTCAAATTTTCTGATCCCTATATCTTTGCAACCTTATGGTGCAAACCTTTGATATTTTAAACTTAGATTATTTGATCTAGTAGGATTCATAGTTTGAAATATCTAAGGTCTATGACATTGGGTTGCGTAAAGAAAAAGGGATTAGAAAATCAGAGTTTGTGATTTTTGGTTTATAGCAGTTTTAAGAAATATTCCGAAATCAGTCAGTTAAAAGTATGAAAATCTGTTTGTTGCCAAATCAGCCTTAAACAGCTGATAAAGTTCCTTTAAATAAACCGACAAAACCACCCTGCAAGTTTTTCTTCTGATCTTGTCAATAAAAAATAAATAGATCAAATCTCTAATCTAATTCCTACAGTGAATTATATTTTCTAAAAAGATGATCCAGGGTCTTACTAGAAACTAAATCAATTATAATTACATTAGTGAGCGGTATATTGGAGTTGATCACATTAAACTAAAGTAAACTACTTATAGTTTTAAGTGTTTTCAATCTTAACTTTTCTTTAGCTATATGAGAAGCTAATGAGAAGAACAAAAACGTTTTGAATTTGTAATATGTAAATATGGATAAAATAGCTTTTTTTCATACTTTTGATATGGTAAGAACTGAATAAATTTTTTATTTAATTTGGCCTTGTACGCCAGAACTTTTAGTTTTTGTCTAAATAACAATTTTTGACGTTGCTAATTTTGAAGAGAGGGGAGGGAGGGGGCATTAGCACATCTTATAGTTCCTTCCTTTATATATAATTATCTAGAACAAGGCTTTCAGGGCGCTCCCATCTTCTATTCAATTGCGAAATTTTTCTCTCGTAAATAAAAAAAACTTTGCGGATTAAAAAAATTCAAAATTTTATGGAAATCGTTTTTTTTGAGGCTATTTTTTAAATTTAGATCATTGATAAACCTTCCATGGGGTCATGTGAGGTCCCAAAAAAATTTGGGCCGGATCAGTTCACCTTTTTTGACGTTTATTGTATACAAACAAACAAACATCCAAACATACCCAAACTTCTATATATGTATAGAAGAATAATATATTTAATGACGAAATAAAACTTATTATGTGCACGTTCGTCGAGGGTTGTGAGGTCTTGGATTTTTGCATTAAAGTACTGTGTTTTCTGCAGGTACAATTTTTTTACCGATCGAATGAAATTGTTGTACCTATTCTAGAAAGCATTTAATAAAAACAAGTTTAAAAATTTTCATCTACAACCAAAAAGGTCGTTTTCTTCCATCTTGGGTGTATAATGAAAAGGTTAAAAAGTCGTTTTCTTATGCAAGCATTGTATGTCAAGTAAACATTGATTGAAGGAAACCTAATTAATTACAAATTAGTAGCTAATTTTTGCTTAAGAACATTTATTTTTTACAAGAGTTATACAATATACATTTATGTACATATTACACAAATACATATATTTACATTATTGTCACATTTATTCACAGATTGATTATGTAGGGTTACAGATGCTCACAAAGTAATTTTGAAGAATAATTACAACTATTAACATAGTAATTTTAATCATTAATTACAACTGTTAACATTGTAATTTTGGACATGAATTCCAATTGTTAACATAGTAATTTTTATTCATGACTATATTAACATTAATTTTGGTAATGAATTACTTAACTGTTAACATACTAATTTTGGTCATAAATTACAACTGTTAAAGGGAGTGTTCGCGAAAAAAAAATGTGGTATTGGCTTACGTCGAAAAGAATTCTACGATGATCGCTACTAATCTTACTTCTATCTGTTGTGTTAATAAGGAGAAAATGGTTCAACACGACTCATACCGAAGAACGTAGGGTCCATAAAATTCAGAAAGTTGCAATATTCGACTCGGATCGTAAATAATTAATTTTTATTCCAAACAAATCATTCAGATATTACAACCTATAATCATCGAATTTTATTCGACGCATTCGTATATAGTTGATATTTCATAATATTTTTATTGGTTTTATATATAATGCAATTTAAACGACGATTAGTTTGCCGCTAGGTGTCTCTGCTCTCGATGTTTTTGTGGTTGCATGTGGGAGAGACACCTAGCGGACAAAAAATCATCGTTTTAAGTGCATTGCATATAAAACAAATAAAACATAATATGAAATATCAACTAAATACGAATGCGTTGAATATCGCAACTTTCTGTATTTGTAAGGGCGCTACGTTGTTTGGTATGAGTTGCGTTTAACCATTTTCTCCTTATAGGCGCAACAGATAAGTAGCGATCGCATCAAATTTTTTTTTCACGAAAACCTATGTATACCCCCTTTCATTGTTCGCAAACACTCCTTTTAGCATAGCAATTTTTGTTACGAATTACAACTGTTAACTTTGTAATTTTGGTTACCATTTACAACTGTTTACATAGTAATTTTAGAGAAGAATTACAACGACAAAGTAATTTTGGTCATGAATTACAACATTTTGGAAAAGAATTCCGGTTCAGTGATAACCAGAAAACAAAAAAAGAAGACAACATTGTTGTAATAACTGTAGTAACTGTATTTGATGTGTCTCATGAGGAAAACTACAGGGTAGGAATACAGGTATTTATAGAGTTATTACAGGGTAGGAATACAGGTATTTATAGAGTTATTACAGGGTAGGAATATAGGTATTCATGAAGTTATTGTAGAGTAGGAATACAGGTATTCGTAGATACAGATATTAATAGAGATAATGCAGAGCAGAAGTACAGATATTTGTAGAGTTATTGTAGAGTAAGAATACAGCTAATTTCATAGAGTTATTACATAGTAGGAATACAGGTACTCATAGAGTTATTGTAAAGTAGGAATACAGATATTCATAGAGTTATTGTAGAGTAGGAAAACAGGCATTAATAGAGTTAATGCAGAGTAGAAATACAAGTATTCATAGAATTATTGTACATTAGGAATACAGGTATATTGATAAGTCATTACAAAGTAGGAATACAGGTATTCATAAAGTTATTTCCCAGTATAAATACAGCTATATTCATTATTCATAGAGTTATTACTGGGTAGAAATACAGATATTAATAGCGATATTACAGGGTAGGAATTCAGATTTTCATAGAGTTATTACAGGGTAGGAATACAGGTATTCACAGAGATATGACAGGGTAGGAATACAGGTATTGATAGAGTTATTACAGGGTAGGAATACAGGTATTGATAGAGTTATTACAGGGTAGGAATACAGGTATTCATAGAGTTATTACAGGGTAGGAATACAGGTATTCACAGAGATATTACAGGGAAGAAATACAGGTATTCACAGAGATATTACAGGGAAGAAATACAGGTATTCACAGAGATATTACAGGGAAGTAATACAGCTATTGAAAGAGATATTACAGGAAAGTAATACAGCTATTGAAAGAGATATTACAGGAAAGTAATACAGCTATTCACAGAGATATTACAGGAAAGTAATACAGCTATTGAAAGAGATATTACAGGAAATTAATACTGCTATTAACAGAGTTATTACAGGGTAGGAATACAGGTATTCACAGAGATATTACAGGGTAGGAATACAGGTATTCACAGAGATATTACAGGGAAGTAATGCAGGTATTCACAGAGATATTACAGGGAAGAAATACAGTGCACAGAGATATTACAGGGAAGTGATATAGTTATTCACATCTGTGTTCCTCTTATCAGATACAGATACAATATATAGGTCTTAAAGCTAGAATAGAATATAGGATTTAAACATTTGATACAAATGTTTCTATCTTTTCTTTATATGCAACAGCTCTTAAATTCGGATATATATTCTCAAAAATAATATATAACAATAACATTATATAGACAATGTGACATACATTTTACATTTTCATTAAAAGGAAAAATAGAGTTTCTTTTAATGAAGCTCTTTTTATATTACTGGAAAAATACTGACTGGATATTCATTATTATTAATTCTATTTCTATAATTTTATAAATTTAAAATTGTTGTAATGATTTAAAAACAAGAAATGTAGTGAGGGGGGGGGTATTGCTGCCATGTTTATGATATTTATAAATAATTTGTATTCATATATATTTCCAAAACATACAGACATACTTGGCAACCAAAATATTTTATGCCAAGGCAAATCAATAGATCTATCACATTATCATAATTTTGTTTGTTTTTTAGTTTGGGCCCTGGACCATATAGTCAACTGCATGGATATCATATAATATATGGGCCCTAGACTCGCCTAATATTCACGTTGAACTCATCTCAACCAATTATAGTATCTATTTCAGGGCCCAAGTTTGTGCAAATATCTAAATAATAAAGCTCTTCGATCATATATTATATATATGTATATATTTGTTAGCTATAGCTGGTCACACTGCTGGACTAAATTGGTTGAGGGTACCCAAGAGTGTCCTAAGAGTAAAATAGGCTAAAATATTTTTTTTTTCAATTCGAACTGTCTAGTGCTTTTTAAATTCCACGGGCAACGCCGGGAGCTAGTACAAAATAAAAGAATCAATGTAATGCTTATGGTCCCTGGAATATCTAGTTTAAAGAATAGTTTCCTTAGTTCTGTGAATATTGTTAGTATTTGTCCTGATTACATGATCTCCTATACTTCCCTCACCACGGGAACTCACGTCTAAAAAAACAAATTTTAAAAGCCTCAAACAAAATATTGAGTGGATACAAATAGTTCAGCGCTAGGTTGTTTTCTGATCCCCAAATGATACAGACAGTTTATTTTATATTGAAATGAAGCCGACATGATCCCGAAATAATGGAGATCTGATCCAGAAATAATGGAGATCTGATCCCGAAATAATGAAGATTTGATCCCGAAATAATGGAGATCTGTCCCCGATATAATGGAGATCTGATCCCGATATAATGGAGATCTGATCCCCAAATAATGGAGATCTGATCCCGAAATAATGGAGATCTGATC